CCTGCGCCCCAGCACCTGCCCCCATCATTTTTTCTTTTTTTCAGATTGATTTATTTATTTGAAAATCAGAGTTACACGGAGAGAGAAGGAGAGGCAGAGAGAGAGAGAGAGAGAGAGGTCTTCCATCTGCTGGTTCACTCCCCATATGGCTGCAACAGCTGGAGCTGTGCCAATTTGAAGCCAGGAGCCAGAAGCTTCTTCCAGGTCTCCCACGTGGGTGCATGATGGCAATGCCAGTGGACCCACAGTGCTGGAAGCCCTGGATGGCCACCTCCCACCAACTAGACATCTGACAACTTAGCATTTGCCCTAGAGGATGTCTACCAGATTGGTGGCATTGGTGCTGTCCCCGTGGCCAAGTGGAGACTGCTGTTCTCACACCGCATGCTGGTGACCTTCATGCCAGTCAGTGTCACAACTGAAGTGAAGTGTGCTGGAATGCACATGAAGTCCTTGGGCTCCTGCAACCGCGTGGGAGACCTGGAGGAAGCTCCTGGCTCCTGGCTTCGGATCGGCACAGCTCTGGCCGTTGCTACCTACAGGGGAGTGAACCAGTGGATGGAAGACTCTCTCTCTCTCTCTCTCTCTCTCTCTCTCTCTCTCTCTGCCTCTGCTAATCTGTAGCTATACCTTTCAAATAAATAAATAAATCTTAAAAAGAGAGAGAGAGAGAGATTTTGATGTGCATCAGTTGCTGTTGCACTGGGAGGTGTGGGTGGGGAGCAGCATCACCCAGCATTCCCCAGACTGCTCCCCGAGAACTCTGGCTGAGCTCCAGGATGGATAGGAGCCATGCACGCACAGAGCCCCACCTTCGCTTTCTGAACAGGATCTGGATTGGGGCCCCAAGAAGGATTCAACTCCGGCTTGAAGAGAGCCCCTGTGAGAACCATGTGAATGCTGGGAAGAATTTTCTGGTGAAGCATGGGTGGCAGAAGAGAAGAACATTGATGCTGTGGGGAAAGGTTGTGGAGACCATTCCTCAGAGACCAGCAGTGTAGAAAGACCGGTCCCACCTGTCCTCCTCTGTGTGTGGGAGCGAAACTAAGAATCTGAACACAGACGCGGATGACTAGAGTGGGAGGGCTGGAGGGGTGAAAGGAGTTTGGATTAAAAAACTGGGGCAGCTGGGTGTGGCTCATGTGTGACAGACACACCAATAGGAGATATTAATGGGGCAGCCAGCTGGGGTATATGGAAACTCCTCACAATGTTTATGTTGTAAATTTAAAATTAACAACACTCATACAATTTTAGAAAATATTTATTTGAAAGGCAAAGTGGAGAGAAGGGTGCGAGGGACAGAGAGGGAGAATCTTCCATCTGCTGGTTTACTCCCCAAATGGCCACCACAGCAGAGCTGGGCCAGACTGAAGCCATGAGCCTGGAGCTCCATCAGGGTCTCCTCCATGGGTGCAGGGGCCCAACTCTTGGGCCATCTTCTGCTGCTTTCCCAGGTGCATTAGTGGGCACCTGGATCAGAAGTGGAGCAGCTGAGACTAGAACCTGTGTTCATACGGGATGCTGGTGACACACAGATGGTGGTGACACAACACCAGCCCTATAATAAAATATGTTTTAAAAAGAAAGCAATATCAGCAGAGCACACATGCACACTTTGCTTTCAGCAGGGACAAAACGATGTGGAAGACGAAGCCTGCAGTGGACAGCCAGCCCCACCAGTGTGCAAGGGGAAAGGCGTCTGGTGAGCGCCTAGGACAGAAATAGCAGCCAATGCATCAGACTTCTCAAGGGGCTCAGCTTACACAATTCCAGCTGAAATGTTCAAGGGCAACAAACTTTGTTTTTAAGATTTATGTATTTGAAAGGCAGAGTGACAGCGAGCGAGCGAGCGAGCGAGAGAGAGAATCTTCCATCGTCTACTTCACTCCCCAAATGGCAGCAACAGCCAGGGCTAGGCCAGGCCCAAACCAGGAGCCAGGAGCTTGAGTGCAGGGGTCCAAGCACTTGGGCCATTAGCAGGGGGCTGGATCCAAAGTGGAGCAGTGGGGACTTGGACTGGTGCCCATCACAGGTGGCTGATTTGCCAATTGTGTCACAACACAGGACCCAGATCAATTTTTTTTAAGGTTTTATTTATTGATTTGATAGGTAGAGTTACAGACAGTAAGGAGAGACAGAAAGGTCTTCAATCCACTGGTTCATTCTCCAGGTGGCCACAGTGGTCAGAAATGGGCTGATCTGAAGTCAGGAACCAGGAGCCTCTTCTGGGTCTCCCACACAGGTGCAGAGGCCCAAGTCTTGGGCCATCTTCCACTGCTTTCCCAGGCCATAGCAGAAAGCCGGATGGGAAGAGGAGCAGCCAGGACTAGAGCTGGTGCCCACAGATAGGATTGACCTCTGCACCACAGCACAGGTCCCTCAGTGCTTTTTTTTTTTAATGGCAACCAATTTCTGAGCCCCATTGTCAATGCCCTTGTCCACCTGCCAAAGGAGGCCTCCAACGTGGTGTTATGGATCTACTTTTAGGTTCCACACCCCAAGACTCCTCTGCCCGGGGAGTTAGATGTTGGGGCCGTGGCCATTGACGGGGTTCCTCGGGCGGCAGGTCTTGGCAGTGGGCTGGGGGCCTGGTTTCCAAGCGTGGCCCCAGGGCACCGTTGCCTGGCCAGGGTGGTGCCCCCACTTGGAGTCTGAAGAATTAGCAGGAGATTAAACATGGTTATGCTGATAGGATTCCACGGACAGAGCAATGGGCAGCTACCAAGGGGTGGAGGTGGTCCAGGCAGACCCAGAGTGCACTGGGTTTTCTTTGGGATGCCCAAGGCAGTTTGCCTGTTGACTTGTTGGCGAGCCAGTGAATAACATCAGCTTATTTCGAGAAAGCAGTGGAAGCGAACAGAACAAGCCCAGGAAGGCCCACCAGCAGCCCTGTCCTCCGCGCAGCACCCCTGAGCCTTCCTCTCCCCACACAGGCCAAGTTGGAAAGTTCTGAGAGGCAGTCAGCAGCCGTCCTGATCCGGCTCCTGCTGACTTCTCTTTGTTTCTGCATCTAAGAGAAGGGCACATAGCTGTACTCGGAGAAGAATGTCAGAAAGCCTGCATCGCCAGCGTGAAGTTCCCAGGGTGCCCGGTTCTTTAGAGATGGGCCAACTGGTGGTTTCATTGCTCCTAAAAGTGTCTTGAATTTGAGGGAGCTGATGTAGTGATAAAGTCTGCATTTTAAATTGGCATCTTTTCATTCCATCTACATGTAACTTCTTCAAGTGCCACAATTGTCAATCAGGTCTAGGGTGTAACTTAGGGAGGGCCCATCAAAGACTTCATACCATCCCAAGTTGGCTTCCTTCTCTAAAGGAGCTGTCCTTTAGACGGGAGGGCGGGCGGGCGGGCGGCAAGGGGCAGACAAGCGCAGACGCTGGAGAAGCAGCAGCTTCAGAAATACTGCCGGTCCGCATCCTGATGTCGAGTGAGCAAGTGGCCGAGGCAGGTGGGCGAGAGGTTGGCTGTGCAGAAGCCAAGAGGCCATGCAGGGCTTGGTGGTAGACCAATTGATGCCAAAACTGGGTTGACCATTTGGGGGATCGCTGGGTGATAGCTATGGAGAAAATATGAGCACAAATTTGCTACTGGGTTCCTGCCAGCAGTGAGTGAGTGTCAATCTTTCCTGCATGGGAGACCGGGAAGAAGCTCCTGGCTCCTGGCTTTGGACTGGCACAGCTTGAGCCATTCTGGCCAACTGGGGAGTGAACCAGTGGATGGAAGACTCTCTTTCTCTCTCTGCGCCACTCCTTTCTCTGTGTAACTCTGACCTTCAAATAAATGAATAGATATTAAAAAAAATGAAAAATCTGTTCTTGAATGCAAGTTTTATAATAAAAATAAGCTCTCCCACATGGGTGCAGGGGTCCCATCACTTGCGCCGTCCTCTGCTGCTTCCCTAGGCACATGAGCAGGGAGCTGCATAGGCAGTGGAGCAGCTGGGCCTTGCCCCAATGTCCATATAGGACGCCAGTGTTGCCAGTGGTGGGTTTTACCCACTCTGCCACAATGCCAGGCGCCTTCTGAAAATGAAAAAACATTTCCTTTGCATGTGTATTTGCATGGGTAGCTGCAATGGCCAAGGGCTGGTGAAATCCAAAGCCAGGAGACGGGAGCTCCATCTGGGTCTCCCATGTGGGTGTGGGGGCCTGAGTACTTGGGCCATCTTCTACTGCTTTCCCAGGTGCATTTGTAGGGAGCTGGGTGGGAAGTGGAGCAGCCGGGACTCCAACTGGGACTCTGGGATAGGAACCCAGCATTGCAAGGCCTCCCAGGGGCCGGCCCCAGTGGCTGCATTCTAACCACGCACATGTGCTTCTGGCCTCCTTCTCCTCTGCCTGCGGCTCTTTCTCCATCTCTTTCCATCCCCTCCATGGCTGAGGGCTTCCTCCAAAGCCCTATGCAGGTTTTTTTTTTTTTTTTTTTTTTTTTTTTTTTTTTTTTTTTACAGGCAGAGTGGACAGTGAGAGAGAGAGAGAGAGAAAGGTCTTCTTTTTTTGCCGTTGGTTCACCATCCAATGGCTGCCGTGGCTGGCGCACTGTGGGTGTGTGTGGGTATGTATGTAAGTGTATTTATATATGATTGTGTTGGTGGGTGTGTGGGTGTGTTAGTGTGTATGAACATATGTATGTGTATGTATGTATGTGTGTGTTTCTGTGTGTGTGTTTGTCTTGTGTGTGTTTGTATGTAAGTATGTGTATGTACTTGTGTGTGTGTGTGTGTGTGTGTGTGGGCGGGCATGTGTGGCAGCAGGACATCTTCCCCGTGAAGTTCAAGCTCACGTCAAAAATGCATGACCATGAGATCAGGCTCTGCCTTCCAGGGTGCATTTTCCAATATTCCTTTGCGAGACCCTGGCAAAGAGGAGAGACCCCGAGAGAGAGCGCTGGTGTCTCCCGACCAACCGACCGGGTCACGCCCCAAATGTCTGCATCAGGAACTCCAATGGATTCCTGCTTAAAGCAAACCAAAGGCCTTTGTTGCGGTCCCTCTGCAGTGCCCAGGTCCTCTCGCCGCAGCCGCACGGCCTTTACCCCCGACCAGCTGGGGATGCTGAAAGCTGTTTTAGAAACCAGCCGCTGCCCAGATTGGAGCCAAAAAGAAGAGTTATCATCCGAGCTTCATCTGGATGCCTATGGGATCAAGGTATGTCCTGAGCCCCCTGCCTCGCACTCACTTGCTGTGGTCACCGCTGCGCTGGCTGCTCAGGGCAGTCCCCGCGAGGCTGGCAGGCAGAGGCTGCCGCGGGGCTTGTCCCGAACTCCCTGCGCGTGGGCCCTTGACAAGATAGACTCCCCCGGGCGGGGCACTCGCGGATGCGTTGTGGTTGTGGGCGCAAGAGTTCAAGTCTGAGCCGGCCGGCGAGGACCACGCCTGGTGGATGGCACTCAGTGCGCGGGAGCCAGCCGAGAGCCGGCCGCGGAGGTGGAGCGAACATGTGTGTGCAGGAAGCGTTTCCAAATTGTATTTCTTTAAATGTATTGGTGAGACGCAATGAGACCGAAGTTTTTTGAGATTTATTTATTTATTTGAACAAGTTCGAGGCAGAGAGAGAGGTGTCTTCCATCGGCCGGTTCACTGCCCCCAGGACCCACGGCTGCCGCGCGCGACCCCATGGCCGAATGACTCTCCCGGGCCCGGCACAGCGTTTGAGAAAGAGGCTTGAGCCCAGCGTGCCCACGCCACAAGGGCCCCGAGCTTCTGAGACCCATGGGGTCTCCCTGGGGTCGTTGCACCTGGAGTAACCTGTTCCCTCCCTTCCTCCCCAGACCTGGTTTAAAAATCAGCGCGCCAAGCAAAGAAAACTGCAGCCAACGGGCCAGCCCCGCCAGCCCAGCGAGTCCACACCTCAGCCTCCTCCTCCTCCTCCTCCTCCTCCTCCTCCTCCGCCGCCGCCGCCGCCGCCGCCGCCGCCAACAGGCTCGGAGCTCAGGGCGCCCGCGCAGGAAGAGCAGGGCCCCGGGGGCTCCCAGGCGCAGGGCCCCGAGGCTGCCGAGGACCCGCTGCCCGCCGATCTGCACAACATCCATCTGGACTCCTCTGCGCCCTGGGCTTCGCTGCCTCATGACGTCGGGGAGCTCGTGCGCATGTACGGCTTGTTCCAGGACGACGAGCCCGACGACCTAGCAGAGTACCTGTACCCCCAGGCTTAAAGGAGACTCTGATTATGAATAGGGTGCCCCACACTCGGCCAGTCTGAGCTTGGGCGTGCGTCCTCTAGCATAAGAAAATAAAGCTCAGTAATGGCAAAAAAGGAAAAAGAAAAGAAAAGCAAAACAAAAAACACCCTACAAAAACACAACCCTCCTCCCCCCAACATATAAAGAAATAAAGCTGGACCCCTCATCCTCCCGCCTGCGACGTCTGTCCTTCCTGCTTCCTTTGCATGCAGCCCTGCATCCGGCTTCGCCTCCACGTGGTCCTCTGCAGACTGAAACCCTGGGGTCCCGAGGTGGGGCAGGGGCCCTGGCTCCCTCAGCCACGGAAGCACTGAGTCAGCCTCTACACTCACCCCAGCTCCCACTGGGAGATCCCTGTACTGGGGCAACCGAGTCATCCCCAAGGAGGCGGTGGGGCAGGCCGAGGCAGTGTGGGTGCTGCTCCCTCTTCCTGTGCAGGAACCCCACTGTGGCCCCAGCCCTGCTCTACAGAGCGCGCCCCGGCCCCAGTGCTCTGGCTTGGCACCTTGGCTTCCCGGCTCTGGGAGCCCAAGGGACCAGGCGCTCCTGCCAGTCCCTGCCCGCTGCCCTGAGCGGCCGCTTCCTGGTGCTGCCTGGGGCTGGGCAAGGGCTTCAGAGTCCAGATCAGCCCTGAGAAGGAGTGAGCTAAAGCCCAAATCCCAGGTCTATCCCTGGAGGGGTTTTCCAGTCTGATCTCCCAACACTGCCGTGGGCCAGTTCTTTCCTCTCTGTTAGCAGATTGATTTCTTTGGAAGGTAGTTCCAGAAAGGGAGAGACAGAGGACACAGCTCTTCCATCTGGTGGGTCACTCCCCGAATGGTGAGTCCCTGGGGCTCTACATGGAGCCCAGTGTTTCTGGAACCTTCTCCACCAGTTTTTCGGCTCCCACTGGAGCTCCAAGAGGGGGTGGCCCAGGCCTCTGTGGCTGTCCTGCGTTGCATCTGTTCATTGATTCTGAGTGCTCTGCAGCTCTGCTGTGGAAGCCAGTGGCCCAGGGTCTCTGTGCCAAGTCACTTCACTCACTGGTCCTGTGGGAAATTCTCCACTGCTGCTGGATTGCACAGGGCCTGGGTCACAGAGGCACAATCTGCACAACCCCCCAGGCGCTGGAATCACACACAGAGCTGGGGCTCCTTTCACCAGGGAGAAAAAGGTTTACGTTCTTATTTGAATGAGTTAGAGAGAGAGAGAGAGAGAGAGAGAGAGAAAGGGAGAAGTCTTCCATCCGCTGGTTCACTCCCTGATGGCCACAATGGCCAGCACTGGGCCAGGTAGAAGCAGGAGCCAGGAGCTTCTTTGAGGACTCCCACATGGGTGTCAGAGGCCTATGTACTTGGGCCGTCCTCTGCTGTGTTCCCAGGCCATTGGCAGGGAGCTGGATCAGAACTGCAGCGGCCGGGACACAAAGTAGCACCCATGTGGGATGGCGGCTTTACCCACTGCACCACAGTGCCAGCCCTGGAGGGCACCTCTTGGGTGAGAATCCTAGGACCTGCAGAGGAGAAGG